AATAATAATAATAATAATAATACCAATACTTGAACTTCCACAGGCATTGGTAATGATGGTTCTACATTAATTCATTCTGTTCGGATGCTCTTAAAAAAGCTACGTTACCCAGATCTTTCCCCGTCGCCCATCTGTTTAGATTCTCTACGTAGGTTGCTCTGGGCCTACCCCAGCCTCGTTTGCCTTCAATTTTGCCAGTGAGAACTAGATGTTCAAGACCTTTATGTCTAATCAAGTGCCCCAGAAACTGCATTAAATTGTCTTTTCCGGGCTGTTTTTATCTGTGAGCGTCCAACTCGGGCTTCATCAAGCACAACGTCATTTGATTTCTTTTCATTTCAAGATTTTCTCAGCAGTCTCCTAACAAACCACATTTCTGTTTCTTCTGTTTTATTGTCACTGTATTTAGTGATTGTCCAGCATTCACAGCTATATATTGAAGGGTCGACCATACAAAGCATAATTTCAGAACTTTCATTTGGGTAGTAATTGAGTAATTGGGATGTTTCTATTTTTCGGGATATGGCTCATTATATTTGGAATTACTCTTTTTTGATTATATTTGATAATTATGTGGAACATTTAGCATCAGATGTTATTATATATCTTTGATATTTAAACTGTTGAACTTGTTTGATCTCTTCGACCTTGCTTATAATATTACAAATATGATTTGCTGCTATTTTAGCAATCGCCATGCCATTTGTTTTCTTCACATTCGACAATTACCCTTCACGTTCCCATCCGGTTACAACAGTATCTAGAAGCAACTGAAGGTGCTTTTTCTGAGTCTGCTATTAAAACTGTGTAATCAGCATTTCTGATATTATTAATATTTTGCCATCCACTTTAAGACCTGGACATTCTTGCATGTTTATAAATTAGGATTGTTTCACTGTATATATGTTAAAGAGGTCTGGTGACATAACACATCCTTGCCTCACTCCCTTTCTAAACTGCTGATATAAACTGTATTCTCCATCATTTCTTACAGCACCGTTTGGGTTCCAGTGCAAACCCCTGACAACTCTTAGAACTTTTCCATCTATGTCTAGCTTTTCCAGTATCTTAAATAGCTCGTTATATCTAACTTTATCGAAGGCCTTTGAATAATCTATGAAGCATACATACATATCTTCTTTCAGTGCTTCAGTACATCTTTCCATTGACATTGTTAAGGTGAATATAGCATTTCTGGTGTCTTTGTCAGAAACAAAGCCGAATTGTGCTTTAGCTATATCTCAGGTCTTAGACTGTTTCTCATTCTTCTCATGAGTACGAACAGTAAAGTTTTTGTAAAATGACTCAGAAGGCGTATTGTTCTATGCTTATCCTAGTCAGTGGCACCTGGTATTTTAGATAGGGCTATAAAAACTGATTTCATCATATCTTCTGGACATAATAATATAAAAATAATGATAATA